GTCTCTGTTAGATCAAGCTTAGGAACAGAGCCGACTCAAACTTTGATTGCCTATGAGTGCAAAGGCAAAGCCCTTATGAAAGGCATCAATGCACTCCCATAGTCCATAGTGTAGTGGTGAAGGAATCGGATGCTCTTTCCATGCTTCCTTTTCTATAGTAAGAGAGTCTCTACTAGCTCGTAGCCACGTTATCCGTCTTGATCACGAACCTTGAGCGCAGTGTAGTTTTCTTCCAAGCTCCCATTCTCTCAAGCAGGTAAAAACTAGACTCACTATACAGGAGAAGACAAGACCTAAAGGAACTCTTCCTGCTTCAGTCAAATTCAATGCATTCTTGAATCGCCTGTGTATCAAGCTTCAAATCGAATGCTAGTGAAAAGAAGAATCTTTCAGTTTTCTTCCCCGGAACATAGACTTTCAGCTTGAAATCTTGTTTTTCACATCAATAAATTTCAAAAGAGGAATTCTTCAGACTTTCAGAAATGGAATCCTTAGTTGACTTCAAGCTTCTAAAGGCGATAGTGAAGTGTACTGAGACAGTGAAAGCGCTAGCTTTCTTCCCTAGAATGAGTGGGGGTAAAGAAGACCGAATTGGGTTTTTTTGGTAAGAAAAAATGAGACCTCCAATTCTGAGTTTTCGAGAGAAAGAATTTGATTCTGGGAGATCGAGGTAATGAAAAAGAAGCATAGTCCTGACTTTACTGAAAGCTTAGTAAGGAAGTCAACTTCGTTTTCGGAAAAGACTCCCAGAGAAAATCTTCCGAATCAGTTCACATACCTACTCTCTTATCTATCTATGCTATACCGAAGTCTGCTCCTAGGTAAGCTACTGGCTTTGGATCTGCCTCTCGAGCACGAGAGGCAGACTCTGTTGAATCACACTCACGAGAATCCGTGAATGGATCTGTCTTGACTGGCACTTGGTCTTGAGATTTTTTTCTTTGTATGTATCTGAATCAATGTACTCTACTGAAGCAACTGGATCACTTGCCTACATACGTGATTATGCATCTGGCCCAGTCAGAGGCTAGACTGCTGACTATTCCGCTGAAGCGACAGAACCAACTGCATAGTCAACAGAAGCTGGGTCAATGGCTTAAACTACTGCTTCTTCAACGCTTCTCCTGCGACTGCCTTGCTTTTGTTTGACCGGCCGCACATAAAAAGAGTCTGATTCTGACGAGAACTTATGCCGTCCATTCCGTCTGTCTGCAACCCGTTCCTTCAGCTTTTCAGGGGGTAGAGGGTAAGAAAATCGTTCATCCTCATTGGTGTGCTCGGCCGCTCTTTAGTCACATGCCACCTGTAAGCTCAGCCATAGTGCACCCACAGCCTTGTTGTTGGCGCCCGCCCTGTGCATATGTTTCGAAAGAAAAAGAAAATTCTCGTTTGGTAAAGTCAAGTTCAAGTCATTGTTAATTAGGGCGGCCGGCTCAAACAGCCCAGCCTAAAGTCTCCTAATTCAAGCTTCACTAGCGCCTTTTTTTTCTTCAAATTGAAAACTGAAAGGCAGCTGAAGAAATGGAATTCCCTCATTCCATTACCTCTCTTCAAATCTCGTACATAACTCTACATAATTGAGAGAATTGCCCCTTGAACACACATCATCTTGTGTGAATGGATGGATACTTGTACTTTTTTGTGAGGGATGATAAACATATAATTCTCCTTAATGGGAATCACACTCCCTCACTTCCTACGACACCGCCTAGGAGTGTCGTATGTATTTCACATTGTGTGACTCAGTACAAGTCATGCTACCGATCCTCTAAACTCATCTAGTGCATAATGTGTGTTCACTCGGGTGTGTGACTCTCACCTAGTATGAGTCACACCATTTAACACTCATACCATCATCTAGGATTTGTCACGTGTTTGTCATTCATCATAAGCATATCATGCGTTGATCATGCCTGTCATTACGTGAGAATGTTTGATTGCCTTTCATACAATGTGTAATTCCCCTTTGGGGTTTCCTATACCCGGTTCAATTGAACTCTATATCATGTGTGTGTGTGTGTGTGTGTGTGTTGAATTGCATAGTGTGACATTTGTTTGCTATTTGCATGAGCATCCGATATACCTCTCGAGTGAGGTATAATCTACCCTAACGTGTCCTGTCCCCGATGCACCCGAATTGCATGTCATATGGGTGTCACATTTTGTATTTGCATGTGCATGCACAAATAGCACTTAGGCTTGTGTCACCATATGGTCATGATGAGTGGTATTCTGAGATGGCTATCTCATATGGCACTAGCCCTTCTCACACCCCCAGCTTGGGTTGTGATCACTTTGTACACAATCATGCTAGGTATCTCCGACTATATGGGTGCAGTCATTTTAACATGTGTGATGTCTATCCTCCCATAATCTTGTTTTGCTTTGTTCATATACAGTGATTAAACTCATGTGATCGCGACGAGCGAGCAAGTCGTAAGTATTCAAGCATATGATCGAAGATGAAAGTTCACTTAGTATGGCATTCATCTTCGAAATTCTCCGTGGCATACTTTTGTGATTGCCCACACTTCAATCGAGCGATCACAATGCTAAATCACCTCACATATTGCATATGCATCATCAATTTTTTTCTTGATGGAAAATCAACCTCATTATTTGAGAGACTCATTGTTGATCGTGATGCTTTAATCAGCGTTGCTTGCGAGCATATCTCATCGAGCAATGTGATTGATCAGCCGCATATGGTTATCCTAAGGCTCCAAGAGGTCTAACATGGCCACTTATATTTTTTCTTTCCTTAGGATTTATTTTAAAATATAAGAAAAATATATCCTTATTATTGATATTCCTCATATTTAAAAAAAAAAAAACTTATTGTATGTATACCTACTTTAGATCATATGTGAGGTCAAATCTTTTATAAGCTTTATTTATTTATTTATTTATTTTTTGTTGCATAAAAACAACATTAAGTGGCACATATTAGAATTCTTGGATCCTTAAGATGGGGTCGAGGACTTCGACCCTGCCAAAAACATACGCCAGACCTTTGCACACATTTAGGTTATTGTGTTAGGACACATTGTTTTAGATGCTTGCTAGAATAGGATCGGGTGTATTTAGGATTTTTACATATCTAACTATTGTTGATGGTTTGTGTCTCCCTAGACTTTTTGTGTGTTTATCAATTTTAAGCCGTGTGCACTAGTACGTTAGGTCGGTCTTCTTGCAGAGAGTCATGTCCATAAGGGAGGGACTATAATGATTTCAACTAATATATTTTCTGCAGTTGTTGCTTAGCTTCCCTCCCACCGTGTATGGTTCACCACGTTGCATGTATATAACCCGTGCTAACCTTTTTTTTTGTAGGTCAAGCTTTTTATTTTGAACATTTTTCATGTTTTTTTTTTTTTTAGAGTCCTTAGAAGATTATGTATCAGAAATAAGATAAGAGCATTGGTTTTGAAACACTTGAAGAGTAGAACCACGTGGTGAAGTCCAGAAAAAGTATCCTGTGTCCCGTGCCTTAATTTTGAATCTTTAATCTTATATAGAATTAGGACCAGGTGTGTATATATGGAGCATGATTGTCCTTTTCTTCTTTCTGTGATATGTTGTCCACCCAACGACATCAACTTTCACTATTTATTTATGTGACTTGTTTATTTCTCATTGCATGTTGGCATTCTCATTATTATTATTTTTTTGCTTGTGGTTTGTATGGGAAGCTTATCGTCTATGCAGTATAGGTTCTCTAAGGACATAAAATTTCCTTTTTATAAAAATCATAATGATAAAAAATTAAGATTAATCAATATTTAGGATTAAAATATTATAACCTTTTAAAACCTGTCTCTTTTCTGGATGGCCTTCGGGCCATTCTAACTCTTTTCTGCATGGCCTTCGGGCCATTCTAAAAATGGGTTGCATGCATGATTATCACCCAAGTCATAACTAATAGGACATCCACACTAGAGTTCGATTGGATAATTACATCATTTTGCATGTCCCTATGAGGAACTGACCAAACATAAGATTTTTACTTAGGTGGTTGTTTAGAACACTTAAGGTGTTACCGACTCCCTGACACAAATGTGGTGTATGTCCATTGTGAGGTGGTTTTGGCTTTGTAGTCAGACCCCTTGTTCCTCTTATTCCAAAGGCATACTTACTACTTTTTGGCGGGTGTAAGCCTCACTTCTGTGAGTTCCACTTATACAGGGTCATAGGGATTGGATGTATCTTTTCTTTGATCTTAGGGCTATCAGGATTTTCTTAGACAACACACTTCATGGATTGCTGATAGGGGATCCCAGGGCGGGTTGGGATGACTACTTTCATGATCAGTAGACCTAAGATCTCAATAACTTGGGATGATGGATCTATGAAGTCTTGATTCGACTATCTCTACCAATTATAATTTCCTTACCTTTATGTTATTACTTCTTCGTTGGTGACCTCTCATCGGTCTCGATTGATGATAATTTGCCGCCTAATTGGGATATAGTGATTCACCTTCTGCCCTTACATCTACTTAGATCTTTAAACGTAGGGATGTTCCTATTGAGATGGCCCAGTTATTTCCTAGGTCTCACCCATTGACAGGCCCGTCATCCATTTGTGGATGTGAGGGATTCATCCTCTTCCTTTAGTTCGATATTGGTTCTGGAAGCGGCGAGATGTTCCTAGTTGTGATAATTGTGCTCCATTAATATACCAATTTCACAAATTTTCACAATATTGTAAGCAGGGTTCCTAGTGGTTCCTATTATCGTGATTTTTTTTTTTTTTTTTTTGTATCCCCCAAGATGTAATTAACTAAATAGATAAGTTCCTTTGAGAGTTGTTCTTAACTCCGAAACTATAT